ATAACTCAAAAGATATGACAGTACAGTCAATAGAGTCAAGGTTGTGTTCGTTAACGATATGAGAGCTGCTGAAACAGAACTACTTGAAAAGTTTGAGAAAATGTATGGTGCTCCCATAAAAGGTAAAGAAACGTTTGAAGTAGATGAGATAGATAAAGCTATAAAATTATTTGACGAAGTTGCTGAAAAATACATGTAAAAATAACGTTTACCATGTAAAACGGTTGTGAAAAAAAGAGGTGAAAAATTAGGTGAAAAACAGGTGAGATCTCACCTCTTCACCTAAACATTATTTTTGCTGAATTCAGCACAAAAATCTGAGTAAAATGGCATAAGATTGCTTACCATGTAAAACGAGAGAAGAGATTCCGTACGAAAACAGTGAAGAACAGCGAGACCGACTTTTATCTGGATCGCCAAACTCTATGAAAATCATGAAGAACAGCGAGTAGGTAAAAAACTTAGTCGCCAAAACTCTATGAAAACAGTGAAATTTCTCTAGACCGACTTTTTTTCGGTCTTGCATAAAACTCTATGAAATTCATGAATTTCCTTAAGATAGAAAAAATAAAGTTAGTTTTTATTTTTATTTATTTTTTTATTTTGTATGTAAAGACAGATATGTCAACAACAGAGAACACAACAACAGTTATAGTCCATGAAGCTATAAATGAAGAATATGAGTACATACAGTTTAACAACAACTCCGTCTCATTCGTTCGGTCAAAGACGATATGTACCAGATGCAAAGTATTTTGACGGCTTGTTTTGCTCACAGACACTAAGCTTCCTAAAGACTGGTTTAGGAACCAAAGCACCATTGAACTCTTAAGCGAAGCACAGCGAGCATACAAAAAGTGACAGCGAGTAGGTAAAAAACCCCAGTCGCCAAAACTCTATGAAAATCGTGAAAAATTGCCAAATGGTTTGAGAGGTTGTGTATGTACATAGACTTCTTGTAAATGCTGTTGCAATGTGGGCTTCGCCTCGTTATGCTTGGAATATTTACAGACTTCTTGACGAAATTCATAGACAAGAACGTGAAAGAGCTAGAGAACAAGCTTGAAGCAAAAGACAAAAAAACATTCAGAAAAGAATACCACGTTCGGTTACCAAAAGAAAGGAAAAGAACTATAAGTATATGATTTTATACTGAAGAGATGGAAAATGAAGAAGATAAAAAAGATATGGTTATGTTGCATTTAGTCAGAAGAAACAACAAAAGCTTTTACGACCTTGCTAAGATTTACAAATCTGACAGAAATTGTTCTATCGCGAAAACTTACCGATTTTCAATGACCCCAAATGAAGATGTGAAACAAATAGTTCAAGATACTTTACCTCAAACACACTATGATATGAAAGGTTGTACAGATACTTACATTCAAAGAAGATTTGCCATTGTTAAGGAAAAAATAACAGAGTATTTTGACAACTTCAAACAAGTAGAGTAGATGAACCATTTATTTTTCAAGCTTGACTTCAGATGGCTCAAGTAGCTCAATTAGGTAAATTGCCTCGTCAAATCCTTCTGGCATTCCGAGTCCTTCCTTCCGACAGGAAAAAATTTTCATTCCGACAGGAAGAACTCTTCCTTCCAACAGGAAAAATTTTTCCTTCCGACAGGAAAAATTTTTCCAGTTGTCCGTCCGTAAACCATTCAAATTTTCGAAAATTGAGAACTTTTTGGTCGAACTTCAGAAAAAGTTTTTCCTTCCGACAGAAAAAGTTTTTCCTTCCGACAGGAAAAGTTCTTCCTTCCGACAGGAAAAGTTTTTCCTTCCAACAGGACACAAACGGATGACTGACGTTCCTCTTCCTGAATGCCTTCCAAAGCCAGAAGAACCGACAGCCCCAGCACCACAACAGACTTACTAAGACTAAACACTTACATTTTTCAAGCTTGACTTTTTACAATTTGAACTTTGTTTGCGTAGATATGAATTCTGAAAGAAGTATGAGGGTCTTGTATGACTTTGTACTTCTCCCATAGTTCATGTCTGTCAAACTTACCTGCCATGGACTCTTTCATAAGTTCCATGAAATCGTCTTCGGACAATCCGGGGAAAAGTATAATGTCAGTCAGTATTCTTTTAACATCCTTACTTAAACTCTTTGCTGTCTGTACACAAATGACAACTGAGATGTTAAAGTGTCTGAGCTTCTTAAGAATTCGACACATATCTTGTTCTCTGTTCTTTAACAAAGGATGAGAGGCGAAATCATCTAAGATAAGAAGACATCTATGAGGGTAAGTCTTCCAATCGTAAGATTGCAATTTCTTCGAAATGTATTCTATCTCTTTCTGTTTGTTTCTGAAGTGTTTCTTCTCTAATATTCTCTGCATTTCCTCATTTGGGTCTTTAAACTTCGAATTTATATACTCATTTATAGCATTATACTTCAAAACTCTTCTTTGGTACTTCTTTATCCAATCTAACAACTCAGTATCCTTTATACATACTAACTTAGACTTCTTTATAATATCTTTGAACGAATTGACGGTTTGGTCAAATTGACCAGAAGTACTACAAATGACAACTAACTCATAGAATGGGTTCTTCTCATCTAGTTCTTGTTGTTGTGCAGCCATTTTAAGATAAGTGAAAGTCTTACCCGACCCAGGTGGTGCAATTAGACCTGTTATACCATTCTGAGCAAATAAGAACTTGTCATGTATAGGCTTTATCTGAGCATTTTCTAACTTCCTCTTGTTCTTGTTTAAAACATTCTCAAATTTCTTGTCAATGTCAGCAAACTTTTTTTCTAACATATTTTTAGAAAAATTAAAATTTTTATCTTTTAGAAAATGTCTAGCGATTTCGCTATCTATATTCGAGACAAGCTTTTCGACAGCAAAACATCTGTCGACCATAAAATCTTACATAGTGTAAACAAGAAAGGTGAATTTGTTCTAAAGTTCTGTTTCTGGGAATATGACAAGAACCATAAAACATTAAGCAGAGAAGTCTTAAAATTTGTCAATGACAGACTTGTTGACAGAGCTGACGCCTCTTGGAGAGATGAAGTCCAACAAAACTTCTTAGAATGCAAAGAAGACACATGCGCTGTTCTTGAAGATGAAATAGAAAACAGAATAGAAGAGCTATTAAAGGACAAAGAACTTTTACATAAATATAGTTGCGCCAAATTTGACATAACTCCACCAGAAAAGAAGAAGAAAGAAAAGAAAGAAAAGAAAGTAGAAGAAGAGAAGAAAGAACCTGAACCAGTTCCAGAGAAAAAGAAATTTGACATGTAAAAATAAAATTTTATTTTTAGAACATTTCTGGGTCAATGTCAATGTTCTCTTCCTCTTTAGGAGCAAACACTGGCTTAGACTCTAAAATCTTTTTACCCAATTTACCTTGAACTTCAACTATCTTAGACTCATAATATTCATAGTCGTCTGCTTTCTTTGGTTCATAAGGTATAACAAGTTTGTATGCTTTGCCTTCTTTAAGGTTTGAGAACCTTCTGTCAAAACTTTCTTTGACTGTTAACAAACCTTCTATGTCTAAGTCTTCAAATTTCGCACCATTTTTAGTCACAATAGCAAACTTAACTGGTTCGATGTTCCAAACTTTGCTGAATGAAGACTTTTCAAAATGGTAGAAGTAAACATTCAAATATGTGAATGGGTCTAGTTCTTCTTTAAGTCCTGACATGTACTTGTTTACTGAGATGAATTTCGTCATCTTTTCTATCGGATAAAAAATATTTTTTTTTAAAATTTACTCATAAAAATTTTTCTTTGTATATACACCATTCTGAACATCTAAAAGACTTTTGACATTTGCCAAGAATGTTCGTTTAGAAGCTGCCATATAACCATATTCTTGACAATATTGTTTATACGAATCGTACAATGACCTTTCATCTAAACACTCAAAGTCAGTTTCATCTATGAACAGTTCATATACACTCTTGTTTGCTTCTAACAATGTTTGTCTCTCTTCGGTATGTGGAATTTGTCTTGGATTGAACTTTGAAATATCTAATGTCATAAAATATGAGAACAAGTGGTTGTAAAAGTCAGATGTCAAAGTTTCTGCTAAGTCGTCAAAATATTCTGTATCTTGCATATGAGAATCTGACGTTCTGACAACTACATATCTTCTGTCAGAACTTTCTAACTTCATCGGAACAGCATTGTTTGAAACCATAATGAAGTTTGCAACATTTTCACAAACTCTTTGGTCTTTATATTTTCTTTCAACAACTCCAACTTTGTCTGTTATAAGACTCTTCAAAGCATCTGAGTTCAAAACTTTTGTTGTATCTATACTTTGAAGTTCATTGCAAACTATAAGTTTCATATTCTCTATTGAGGAGTTAAATTTACCGCAGATGTTTTCTAAGTTTGTCATATTCGGATTCGAATAACCTTCTAACAGTTTGCACAAAATATCTGTAAAGAATGTGTTCTTACCAGTTCCTTGTTTTCCAATTATAATGAGAGCAGTTTCATTTTTAGCACTTGGATGTTGTAAGATATTTGCAAACCAACATAAGATATACTCATAAACCTTTTCGTTTCCATTGCATATAATTTCTTTGACATGGTCTAACCAAGCTTCTATAATATTTTCTTTCCATTCTACTTGTTCATATTTATATCCAGTGAAGATAGAATAGAAGTTTGGAGAAGGTGTATAGAACTTTATACCTCGAACTGAAAAATCTTCTAACTTTGACAATAAGATATCCCAAGCATCTAACATCTTCATGCCAACTTGTACGACTTTTATTTTCTTAAGTTTCTGTCTACATTCTTGTTCTGAAACTATTGTCGCTTTAGGTTTGTTAAAGACTACATCCCATTCTTTCATGACATAACATTCTGGGGCAGAGTCGACATAAATGACTAAACGTTTCAAATTCTCGACTGCTTTGTTATAGTCTCGAAATGGACACATATTTCTGAATGCTTGGAAGTCATAAAAATCTGAAACATCTATTCTGTACATTTTTATAAAAATAAAAAAAAATATTTTTTTTTATTCTTGACTTTGTTGTTGCATTTGTTGCATTTGTTGTTCTTGAGCTATTTGTTGTTGAAGTTGTTCTTGTAATACAATACTTTCACCAGTTGCATCTTCCAATTCGAAACTTTCTGCCGTCATTGACAAATACATAGGACATAAAAGTTTTACAGGAACAAAGTTTGCGTCAACTAATGTCAACGTTATACTTGCCAAAGTGTTTGAGTTCACTAAGGTTGAAAATTCTGCATTCGAATGAACAATAGGCAAACCAGCAGAGAAAGTATTGTTTATACGCATAAGTATCTTTTGGTCATAATAGTTTCTGTCGACATTCGAATAACACTTTGAACCTAAGTTTGAAACAATATATAAGATTGGTGTGCTTAATGTCAATGGAATAGACATTCCTTGTATGACACCTTTTCCTGTTATAGGAAACTGTTGGTAGTAAAAACCAGAAATAAGTTTTGTATTATAGCTCATATCGTTTATAGTAAACTCAGTCGGACATCCAAACATAATGAAACCTGCTCTAGTTGCAGCACATGTTACACCCGTACTTAAAGTATTAAATAAGTCAACAAAACCTGTTGGTGGTATATCTGAGTAAGTATCTTCAAAGGAGTTTTTTTACCATTCACAACAATAAAGTCTTCTGGTGTCAAAAGAGCAAAACAGGCTTTAGTCGTCATTGTGTTTAAGTTAGTTTACAATACCGTCCTTGAGGACTTTGTAAGTTTGTTGTTATAGAATTATATGACTCAGGGTTTTTAGTCGTAATAGTATAAACCATTATATCTTCTGCCATTTATATATATTTAAAAGTTTTTCTGAAAGTGGAGAAGAACTTCATCTAAACTTTCACATGAGGTTTCTTGAAGTTCTCTGTCTAAGAAGTTCAAATATTTTGTAAAGACATAGAACTTTCCTTTGTCTACACGAACAAACAAAACAGGGTCTTTCATATCGTTCAAAAGTGTGTAAAGTCCTTTACATGAAATAAAGTCTATATTATTTTTCTTCAAACATCTTTCAAGAAGTTTTGACATTTTACTTAGCAAATAAATTTTAATGAAATGTTGTGGTCGTCAAATATTTTTATGACGTCTGGGAAACTATACTTTAAGTTCAACGTTTCACCTCCTTTCATAACGTATATCTTGTCAATGACATTATATGAAACACCACAGCAACTAATGTCGGGTTCTATTTCTTTGATGTTTATATCGTCTGCCTCTGTCAAAAGTTTCAATAGTTCTTTCAAAACTTCATGAGGTGCGATGACATATGAGTTCACTTTTACAGGGTTGTGTTCGACCAAGTTTAACATTATACTTAAAGCTTGACAAATCTTCTCCTGAGTTTGAAGTTTGTCTTTCAGTTGTTGGTAGTCGTTTCGAATATCTGCAACAGAACTTAAGTCTCTGCTAACTTCAGGATATGTTGGTTCTTTTACAGGAACAATTGTTATACCATCTTCGTCTTCGTATGGTTTCCCCACTTCAACATCTCTGTCTTTGACATTGACAACAACACTTTGACTGTTTGTTTGAGTTGGTGAATTTAACTTCACATCTGCCACCGCCATTAAACCTTTTGAAACACTTACGCTTCTATTTTTCGGAAATGACATTTTACTTAGAATAAAAAGATGGACGTATTCGGATATCTCTTTGAATTGAAGCAGAACAAAGTTTACACACACAAACAATACAAATACATTGACAGAATAGTTCTTTATACAAACAATGGTAAATGTTATAGAATAGCAGTCTTTGCTGAACCAAAATATTTCCATAAAGCAAAGAAAGTTGGTATAACTGAAATGGTGAAAGTTCTTGAAGCAGACAAAAATATAACTTCAAAACTGACCGATATTTCTAAAGGTAAGTTTATAATACAATATTATGTCAAAACTGGCGTACTGTCAATATTTGACGGAGAGAAGTCAGTTCAAGAACAACTTACTGACCTGCTGCCAAAATCTGCTCGATGGAAGCTGTCGTTATGCCAATCTGAGGAGCCCCAGCAGGTTTCATCGAACGAATCTTCAAAAGAGCATCTTCCGTGAAAAGTGCTATTGGTTTTGTAAACTTCTTTGCTTTCAATTCATCTGGACCGTCTCTGTCACCAGTATATTGTATTTGTACAGTACCAACAGTTGAAATACCACCCATAAAGTCAGTTAGTATCCCTAAGTTGGGTACTGTGGCACTGCGAGCCTCCGTACACCACTTAGCGGTTTTGACACTTTACGAAACTGGTAACGTATATTTTACAACACAAACACAAACACCAACTTAACCTTAAATATTTACAAAACTATCTGACACATAAACGACTTCACTAACGAACTCACTAACGAATTCACTACCGTCCTCACTAAATAAAAAATAACCTTATTTTTATTTTTTTTAAATTTTTTATTTCATTACAAAGACATGTCCGACTACATTTACTATGACTCTTTCCCAGAACGTTTCCGTGAACTATTCAAAACTCAAGTAAAACTGAGAAACATGCATTTTAACAAAGACAGACCCATTGACGATGAAAGAAACCCTGAATATATTACAATCCCTTATGACGCAAAGTTCATTGCATACATTCCTTATGGTCGCAGAGGAACGAAAACTATTTCAACAAAGAACAAAAATTATTTCTGGAGCGATGAAGAAAATTGCCTTATCTACATAAATGCATACTTAAATAAAGCTACATATTGTACAAAAGAAGGTTGGACTGGATTTGAGCTCTACATATACGACGACGATGGAAACAGACGCTGTGTATACCCATACGATAATATGTACCATTGTTTTCATCAAGCATTAAACGAATACATAGTCAGTAAGGGTCTCATTCCTGTTGAGTAGATATGTTATATTTTTGTTCTGTCATTTATATAAAAATAAAAATTTTCAGTAAACTTAAAAATTAATGATATCACCACTCCCACACGTATGAAAACATAGCGCAAAAATAAATTTAGGTGAAGTGGTGAGATGTCACCTCTTTTTTCACCTGTTTTCTCACCCGTTGAATTCATTACTTTATAACTCTTTCCTTGGTTTCTTTTTAGTTGCTTTCTTCACGTCTGTCTCCAACTTGACTGTCTTTCTTCTTCGTCCGTAATGATACCAGTTACTTCCACCAGTCAATGGGTCAAATGGTCTTTCGTAAGGTTTCCATACATTCCATAAGGGACCATACGGAAGAACTACTGGTGGAGGAAGAGTTCCATCGACTCTATTTAAATGCATTGTTTCACCTTTCATCTGGTCATTAAAGTCTTTTGCTGTTTTGCAAACTCATCGTCCTTTCCTAAAGCATTTTCTGACTCAGTCGCAACCAAATTGGATGCTTTATTTATGAGCCCTATTTTATTTAATCTTAACTTCTTTGCAACCCAGCCTCCAATCTTTCCTTTATTTGCATCTAATGTCTTGAAACCCTTCCTCCACTCATTTTATTTACTGCGTCATAAGCTCCAAGTGCTTTTGCTCCAAATGCTAATGCTTTTGTTCCCATTGCGCCTAAAGCTGCCCAAGCTACCATTTACACCATATTAAAATCATCTCTCTTCAATATTATCTCATAAAAGTTCTCGTTACTGGAGAAAGTCAATGAAACATAAACGTTCTCACGGCTTCGCCCTCACCGCTTTGCGGTCTATCTAACTTCTTTCTTATATCATCTATACGCTTCAAAATGTCTGAACAATTGCTAACATCTTCTACAACAGTTATTTCATCATGAATGACCTTAAGAACAAGCTCATTTAATATGCTATTAAAATCATCTCAATAATGAGTCCATCCTTTCCATCTTTAGGTAGCACAACATCTTTCATTGAAGAAGGTTCGACAAGTCTTATGTTAAACTTACTGACAAAGTTTGTTATACTATAATGCTTCGGTGGCGAATACATATAGTTTGAAAGACATAATATAGATTCTTCAGCAAATTCACTTATACTGGATTTTATAACAATGTTCTCACGAGACCAAATACCACCAATTGACAATCTTGTAAGCAATCCTGCTGAACCTTCAACTGTAAACGTCGATGGTAACATTCCACGAAGGTCATCTATTGACATCGTTGAGTCACTGAATTTAAATATTTTCTTAAAGCAATCGTCATTATCTAACCATGCAATAGCTTTGAAGTTTTCATTCGAATATACATCTGCTTCATTAAATGTAAAACCTGACTTCTTTGCAGAGACGACTTTAAAATCTATTGCATTTGTTTCAAAATTATAGCTATGGTAACTTCTGAAGGTAATGGATGTCCTTCCGCAGTCAGTTGTTCTCTCACTACCGTTTGAAGCTTTGTGTTAAAAACTTTCATGTCATCTCCTGTGTCTAGGTTCACATACACAGCAATAGGAAAACTATCTTGCTTCTTTGTTCATCATTATATCTCAAAACATTAAAGTTCTTCAATAATATTGTCCTTCCTGCTGGAATACTTCTAACTTGTCTTATTTCAATAGCTTTCTCACCTCCTACATACTCTACCCAGTGTCTTGGATATTCATAAGTATACTGACTTTCTTGAATTTTGGTTGGTTTCATCATAACGTGTTCATAGTATATCTTTATACTCTTGTCAGTTAGACTCGGTGCTATGTTCTGAATATTTCTGACTTGCATTTTTAATGGAGATAAAATGAAGCATTTAATACATGACGTAGATGAAGACATGAATGAAACTACAGACAAACTTAACTCTTCTCTCATTCTTCCTTTCAGCAAAGATTATGAGTTCTGTTCAAATGGTGTGTATTTCTATTGTGGAAAGATGGGTTCAGGTAAGACATTTAATTTAATTCGTCATATACTCATAACAGAACGTTTAGGTCAAGATTCATATTATGACCAAATCATTATATCAGCAACTTCAGACTCTATGGACTCAACAACGAAAACATTTATGTCAAAAGTTCAAGCCTCTGTCGTTAAAGTTCCAGACAGTGAACTCATTGAATTTCTTCAACGTTACATTCGACGTAAGAGGAAATATTATGCCATTGTTGAATTTATACAGTCAGGAATGCAAAAGACTTCAGAAGAGATGGAAAGAATTATTGACAAACACCACTTACGTCAATACTCAGGAGTTTACGATATGAAACGACTGACAAACTACATTCTATCAAAACTTTCAAAATACCCCTTCAAAAAGTATCCTTCAAACACTCTGCTCGTTTGCGACGACTTTGCTGGTAAAGGTTTAGTGTCAAAGCCTGACTCACCATTAGCTAACATCATTACTAAAGTCAGACATTACCATTTAACTGTAGCAATACTTATGCAAACATGGCGTTTTCTTGCTTTAAACATAAAACGTCTCATAACTGACTTCGTTATCTTTCAAGGTTTCTCACGTTATGATATTGAACTCATTTGGAAACAGTCAGGTATAACATTACCTTTTGAAGAAATTTGGGAAGCATATAAGTCTCTCATCTCTCCTCGTTCATACCTTGAGATTCATATCATGACTAATACCATTAAAGTCAAAAATATTCCATGGGAACGACCAACATTGTTTTAAAGTTTAACCTTCAATTGACTGATGGTAAACAAATTCCATGCATCTCTGTCGCCATTTCTGTTAATATTTTTGCTGTCATTCATATCATCCACTTCCCCATCCGTTAGCTTTTGAGGATATGCGTTAGAATAGCTGTTCTTAAATGAAGGCTTTTCACCTTTAGCGCATAAACTCTATAACTTTCTGCATACTTTATGTTTGAACCTCCTGAGCCATCATTGACATAAATTTTTATAGGCTTCCACCCTTTGTTCATGTTCCTGCTTCTTCCCTTAGCTCTTTTGTTCAGTAGTTCTACATCTTTATACACAGCTCCTGTCTCAGTGAATTCAACAATATTTTCATTCGTTAGCTTTACATTCAAACCCTTGTCGAGTATATTGTTCATTTCATACATATAAAAGGTTTTTATTCTATATGAAATGAGAAGTAAATCCATCTTAGCTGGTGCCGTTAATGTTCCAATTGAACCAACATCAAATGTTGACTCACGAACGACAAACAATATTGTCATAAAGAACTATAGTTCAGAGTGTTTGAAAGAACCAGAACCAGAGCTGAAATCCGTGAATTTAAATACAACTTCAAACGCTAACGCTACATCAGATGTTAAGTTAGAGTATCCACCACTGGACCAAATTCTTTCAAGAGAAGTCAACGACAACCCTTACACAAATGTTCAAACAAATCCTTCAGATAACGTAGACCATTACCTTCTTCAGTTATACCAAACAATTTTACTCAAAGACGATAAGAAGCTTTTGATAAATCTTATAAGCAAGAACCAAATAATTCTAACAAAGGAGGACCTTGAAAATGTTATATTACGAATAACAGGGAAACAATGTGTCATTGACTATCTCGACCCTGAAATCGAATGCTGTGGTCAAACGCCACCATTCATGAAAATAGGTAACATCCGCATCATTGAAATACCAGGTACTCCAGGAGTTGAGTTTAAGTATAAATATTCGAACGAGTATACAAAACTTTCAACAGAATATAAATTATGTTTGAAATATGTTTTAGTAAATTAAAGCAATTTGTAATATCTATCCAAAACTTCTTCAACAGTATCGAACTCATCTTCATAATGCAAACCTAATCTTATTGACTTGGTGCAGTTCTCACTAACACAATATAGCGCTTTGCGCTCGGCGCCTTTGACGCCTTTTTCTGTTCTCTTGACTGACATAATTAACTCATTTGTTTCATCAAACAGCAACAACCAAAGTTCATGACCTAATACATAACATTCATACTTATATTTTTAGCTCTGAGTTCTCTTGTAAGCTGTTGCATTTAATATTTCTAAAAAGTCAACTTCAACAGTCATTCGCACTGGTGCCTTCAGTTCTACAGGCTCGCCTTGAAAGTCAACAAGTCTGAATTGCATGTCTTTCAAATTATGAGGACTAATGCGAACCCATTTACCTAAATGAGTTGCTATGACAGGAACGTTTGGAATGAACATTGAATTGACTGCATAACAGAAAGACTTATATTCTACTGAACCTTTACTATTAACTCCTGAAATACCTGTGACATTAGCTATTTTTGACTCAATGTATAAACAATTGCCATAACATACGTATGGAACAGATTTCATCTCAATCGTTTTGTCAACACTTTTCAAAGGAAATGTCATATGGTATGCTCCCAAAAGAAGTTGTACTCTATGACTCATTCGTGTTATCTTAAACTCCTTTGCATAACTGAACTTCAAAACTCCTGCAATAAGTTTAACATTCATTAAGTTTTCTTCGTTCTCCTTGTTTATTGTAGTATTTATGAGAGCATTTAACACTCCAGCTAATGTTTCCATCTTATATTCTACATTATTGTGAAATCTTATTTCGTGCTTCTTTCCATCTATTTCAAGCTCCATGAAATCTGTTTCATCTGTTATGACAAAAGTTGCGATAGTATTGAAGTCAACAACTCTGAAAGCAAGTGCTTCATTCTGAAGACCTAAGTTTGTTTGAAGCTTTACTGTTCCGTATTCGTTTGGGTCAGTACTTTGCAAATAGAACAACATTTTATTCTCATTAAAATATGACTATTGCTGCATATGCGTATGAAGCTGACAGAGCTAAACGTTTATATTTTGGTCAATACTCTCTCACACTTACTGACAAATATATTGTTATCAGTGATGGAAATACCGAGAAATACATAACATGGAAGGACTATGAAAAGTTTGACCCATTTTAACTCCATGTACAATGCCATTCATTGTAAATGGTGAAGTTGTCATGAAGAACGACAAACAGTATATAAGTCTGTATATGAAGCATTAGAATATATGTTGAATTATAATCCCGAAAGATTTGACCCAAGCACTACACCATGTGCAATGCCTTTTATTAAGGACGGTGAAATCGTAAGAGTTCCGGATTCAACGGTTTATACTGCTGTTCAAAACAGTTTACAAAACATTTTAGCGAATATCTTTAATTCAGAAACTACAGAAATAAAATTACCATATATAACAGATGCTAAAGAAATTAAATCAAAAACGACAACATTATTTACGTCACTTAATGATTTAATGACTTATATCATTAATATTCCTGCACCAACTACAGCATTTGATCCAAACTCGACGGTTTGCAGGGTACCTTTCATAAAGTCGCAAACGGACTCTTTGAGTCCTGAAGGTCTTTCAGACCGAAGCGACCAGGGCGAAGCCCATGACAGTTCAGTAATTGTTTTAAGGGATTCAACAGTTAATGAATCATTAAAGGCGTCATTAATGAAAATCATTGATTTTAACTCATTCACGAATACATATAATTCATTCATTAATGTTTCATATGCTTCTAAAGAAGGTGAGCCAAAAACTATCGATAAAGCGGTGTATGAAATAAAAGCATCAACGACGAAATTGAATTCGTTAACTTTTGACGGTGATAGTTTCGTTAATGACATAACATCGGGGAAAACAATTTTAACGAAAGAATATTTAAAATCTCATGTTAGTGAGTTCGTTGAAATTGAAAAAGAAGGTGGAATTAAGTTCGATCCACTGAATTTCATTTTCAGCTTAGCGAATGCGGGTGTTAGTTTCGCTGAATGGACAACTATACAGAGTGAAATAAATGCAATATGGACGTTTTTGGGGTCAAAAGCGGGAATGGGTGAGCTTGTAAATGCTGCAAGAACATTAGGTGAAACAGGAAATTTTGTAGATGGTTTTAAAAGACTTGTTTCAAATGTTTTAACAAACACAAAGAAATTATTTAGATATACCATACATAACGGACGGATTTTCGAACAGGTAGCAACAAACCCTCCGGTTATGGCTGCGTTGATGATGGTTAGAGATATAAAACCACGTAACGACGGGAACGAAGAACATGAACAACAGAGCCCAACGGGCTCAGAGCCACATAGTGGCGAGGATACTGGTCGGGTTATTCAAGACATTAAAAACGTGTATCCTGAAGTTATTGATTTATTTAGAGGAGTTAATGATTCAATTTCAAAACATTCTATAACCCTCGATGAAGAGAATAAATTAACAGATTATATATTCGTCATTATTGCAGAACTAATGAAGAGAATAAATGAAAAAGGAATTGGTGATATCATTAATGTCAGCGATGTAATGATGAAAAGAAATTTTGACTCATTATTTACAAAACCGAAAACAGAATATAGTCTTTATGACGTAATTACCGAATTAATGAAAAAGATTAATGATAATAAGAGTTCTGGCGGAAGAGTTGAATTAGAAGTGAATGATGTTAATGAGAAATTAGCCGAAAAAGCAGATAAAAACCACGTTCATTATATAACTTCAGACGAACAGATTATAACGGACTACCATGGATATTTAACACGAAGTGATGAAGCGAAGACAAAAAATGTTAATGAAAGAAGATATAAATACATTCGTGCTAAAGGTTATGACATAAGCTGTACTGTACAGTATGATGTAGCTAAAGCACCAGAAGCATTTGGTTATACCGGTGAAATTTATGCCTCTACTTTCAATGTTAACGGTGTATTAGTTGAACCAAGATTTACATTGAGAGTTAAGGCAAAAATAACGTTTGAAGATGCTATTAAAAGTAAAGCTGACAAAGTTGAACTCGAAGCAATGAACAAAGTTTTGAAATCTCATAAACACAACATCTCCGATATAAATGAACTTCAAGCTACATTAGACAGTAAAGCCGACAAGAACCATACAAACGAATCCTTCACTACTATTAGAGCAGACGATGTAATATTGAACTATACCCTTGGTTCAAGTGCACCTTTAGAGAATCCAAGCACAAGCGTAAAAGATACACTAAACTCCTTAAATAGTAAATGTATGAACATTGAAGGTCATGTCAGAAACTTTGAAGCACATGAACTACCAGCAATGTTAGATAAGAAAGCAGACAAGAACCATACACATGATTTCTTCACAACTGTTGGTATAGAAAGTATTGAAGGAACGGTTGAAGGAACTGGTGGGGATGCATTATATTGTAAACCTCCTAACTTTCCACAAGGTTTAACATCGGATGACGACATAACGACGATGAGAAACATTAGATGTAAAGATGTTTATGTCATGGAGGATGAAAATAATGTTAAATTCACTGCTCAAGATTTATATGATAAGAAAGCCGACAAAAATCATACACATAAATCCTTCACTACTGTTAGAGCAGACGACATAATATTGAACTTTGACCTTGGTTCAAGTGCACCATTAGAAAATCCAAGTACAAGCGTAAAAGATACTCTTAACAATTTAGATAAGAGTTGCAGGAATACCGAAGATCATGCCAGAAACTTTGAAGCATATGAACTACCAGCAATGTTAGATAAGAAAGCTGACAAAACTTATGTGGATACAGAACTAACAAAGAAATTTTCGAAACCAGATACAATGACATTTACAACAGAAATTATAAATGGTGAACCAGCAACTCCATTTGAATTTGTTAGAGGTCTTCAACCAGATACTTTTGAATTTTTCTTGGATAATTCTATTGAACTAACATTACATTATAAAAGTGGAACAAATGCAACATTTCATCCGGGAGATACATTCCAAATGGTATTTAATGACATAAGTTCTTTAGAATATGTTTATAGAGTTATGAGCATATATGATTTAATATATCCTATAGGAGCTGTTTATACGTCTATGAATCCAATAAATCCAAACACTTTATTTGGTGGTAGATGGTATGAAATAGTTGACAGTTTTCCATTCTACACTAATACGCAGTCAATGAAGATGGGAGGTTCAAAGAAAATAGGTATTGAAAACCTTCCTTCACATATGCATAGGTTCAGTGGAAGAACATCTGTGGAAGGAAACCATTCACATTCAATAACAAAAAGAGGTTATATAAATCTTGCAGCGGGTTCGAATAGACAGGGAATGAACAGATATGATATCACAACTGACCCAGTAGATTCAAGCACAGGTATTTTCTGTGGAACTGCAGGAAATCATACACATGTTGTAGCTGGTATTACAGACCCAGCAGGTAATGGAAAAGATTATATGCCTCCTTATATAACAATGCACGCTTGGATACGAGTTGGTTAAAATCTTTAACTTTACATAAATGAGCTTGAAAGAAGTATTCGAACAACATCCATGGAGGTCATTTAAGAAGTTCAATGAAGCTGCAAAGAGTCGGGGATTTACTAACAGAGCTGAAGTGAAAAGGTTCTTTGACAAAAATGTTGTACATCAAACAAAAATAAACCCTTACGACTACTTTTTACCAATTTACTCCAACACTCCTGACGCATACCAATTTGACACTCTCATTCAAAGCAGAAAATGTGGTCATAAACCATTCCTCATCTTCATAAATGTTAACACTCGTAAAGCATATGCATATCCAATGAAAAATAAAGGAACTCGTGAAGTGTTAAGAGTTTTACAAAAGTTTGTAGCAGAACATAGCCCAAGTACTTTAACATCAGACCAAGACAGTGCATACCTCAGCAACGAAATCACAGAATTTCTCATTAAGCATAACATAACTCACTACACTACTGAAGACCATAACCATAACATACTCGGTATCATTAACCGCTTCATAAGGACTCTCAGAGATTTAAACCAAGAGCGAGACTTTACCGAAGAAACAATGAAACATTTTCTCGAAGTTTACAATTCCTCAACACATTCTACAACAGGACATACACCAAATTCAATGACACAACAACAAGAAGAAAAGTATATACAAAAGAAACGAAGCCAAACACAAAATATCAGAAATTCAACACAATTTACCCTCATTCCTGGTACAAAAGTTCGTGTAGTTCTTGACGACAAACCATTGACAAAGAAACGTTTAAGGTTAAGTCGAAACTATTATATCGTAGACTCTACGCAAGGTAATGGATATCTTATAAAAGCTGCTGACGACTCCATAGCATTTTACCCTCGTCATAAATTAGTCGAAAGTAGTAATGGCAAACTTGCTGAAACCATTGACGAAGCAAAGCGAGGAGTGGTTATTGAAATACTTGACTACAACATAAACGATGACACTTATAAAGTAAGATATGAAGGAGGCGTTGAAGATGTTATACCATCTAAGAACTTGAGAGAATCTAAACCAACTCATCTGGGACCATTAGAGCGGGAGTACTGGAAAGATAAAAACATGCCAGAAAGAATAAGAAAATTCTTCTAAACTTTTTCGTTGGATGTAAATCAGACATGAATGAGAACAGTCATGTATTATTAATGTTTTCATAAATTTACACCAAAAATATATTATAGGTGAAGAGGTGAGATGTCACCTGTTTTTTCACCTAATTTTTCACCTCTTGAATTTGTCATAACTTCTTCGTAAATGCTTTGTCATAACTTCTTCGTAAATGCCTTGTCAAGATTTCATCGTAAATGCTTTGTCATGACTTCTTCGTAAATGAGTGTAAATGACCAAAAATATATTATAGGTGAAGAGGTGAGATATCACCTGTTTTTTCACCTAATTTTTCACCTCTTGAATTTTCGTGAATTTTCGTGAATTTTCACAAAAGACCAAAAATAATGTTAGTTTTATTTTTATTTATTTTTTATTTTGTATAAAAGATATGATTTCAACAATCGGCACAACAACAATACAAGCCGCGAACGGCGGGACTCTGTCCACAACTACAGCACCAAACTCGTTAGTCATGAATCCTACGTCAATGTTGGTAGAAATGAAAAACTTCATTCCTTCTTCATATACTTTCGAAACAAAAATCCAGAAGATAAAGCAAGAACTTTTAACAAATAATTTAGACTGTAGTGCGAAAGATGAAACAAATGAACAGTATCTTTATGAAATGCAGGACATTATTGACCATTTACCCAAATTGCCTGAAATCCAACAACAAAAACTCACTATTCCTGAATTCGACGAAATTGAAGTGAAACCAACTGACTCAGTAGAAATAAAGAAGTTCATACGTAAAGTAAATTATGAATTCCTTGGTTTTCATTGCAACCATAAGGTTATGGACAAAGATTGCGATATGGTATATAAGAATGTTTCTGACATATATAAATCTGGGGAGTTTAAGACTTACGATAACTTTGTTTCATTAGTTGCAAAATGTGTTTGGGAAATAAGAGATAAAGATAGAAGAGGCAAAGTATGGAACGAACAAATAAGACCCGCTATGTTTGAGATGAAGAAAACCATTGACGCTTTAGTTGTTCTAGCAGGTAAGGTTTCAGAATATAACGCAAAAATGAACCCACAATGTTCAAAATGTAAAGCAGCAATGAGGAAATATAACTACTCCGTCAAAGAGATAGAAAGAATGCGAAACGACTATGCAGACTTAAAGAAAGAAGCAGAAAAGCCAGCAGAAGATAAAATGAACATGTTAGAATTTCTTAATAAAAATTATCCAACAGCAGAAGATTTCCTTCTATCTGACGTCAAGAAGAAGTATAAAGAAACTTTCGGCATTGTTAAAACATTCGATGTACTGACAGAAGAAATAGAAGCTACGAAATTGTTTAGAATTTCAAATATACATCGTACAATTCATGTAAAACGCTTATAAAATAACTAGGGTGAAAAAAGAGGTGAAAAAACAGGTGAGATGTCACCTCTTCACCTAAACATTATTTTTGCTGAATTCAGCACAAAAATAATGAATTTCATTAGTTAGAAAAATAACGCTAATTTTTTTCTAAGAAAAATTTTTATTTTGTATGTAAAGACAGTAATGACAAACATTGAGTTTGAAACAGTTAGAAAGATAGACAATGACACCAAAGTGGTTAGAATAGGTGATTTAAACGTAAGATACTCAAAGAAATACAACAAATATTCTTTGTCAGACATTATATCTCCATCTGGAAAGAAAACAAGCGACTGGGTTAGAAATGCTTCAACTCAGAAAATTTTGACAAGAAATCCTGAGCTTATGATATCAATAGCATTTCATGGAACAAGAGCATATCTTATAGACAAAAGTCTTATACCAATAGTTTTGTTATGGATTGACCCAGTTGTTGGATATAACTTCATAACTTATGGTTCATTCGATACGGAACGTTGCAGTGAAGGCTTACTTTACATCGTTCAGAAACCGAAGGACTTCAATACAAAGAGATATAAGATAGGAAGGACATATAATATAACTCAAAGATATGACAGTACAGTCAATAGAGTCAAGGTTGTGTTCGTTAATGATATGAGAGCTGCAGAAACAGAACTACTTGAAAAGTTTGAGAAAATGTATGGTGCTCCCATAAAAGGTAAAGAAACGTTTGAAGTAGATGAGATAGATAAAGCTATAAAATTATTTGACGAAGTTGCTGAAAAATACATGTAAAGCGTTTATTTTTGGTCTTTTGTGAAAGTCAGAAAATAACGCTAATTTTTTTCTAACAAAATTTTTTATCCGGAATGTAAAGACAGTAATGTCAACATCAGAGAACACAACAACTGCTATCGTTCATGAAGCCATAAATGAAGAATACGAGTACATACAGTATAACAAACAATTGAGACTCATTCGTTCTGTCAAAGATGATATGTATCAAATGCAAAGTATAATGAACGCTCTTCGTTCTACAAAGCAAGCATATCATTGGTTTGAAAACCAACAGGCAAAAGAACTTTTAGAAGAATTTCCTCATATGATTGCTTCCCTCGGAAAACCGAGGGAAGAGATTCCGTACGAAAATCGCAAGAATTTGGCTCCTGGTTTGAAAGGTTATTATGTTCATAGACTTTTAGTAAATGCTGTAGCAATGTGGGCTTCACCTCGTTATGCTTGTTATATTTTCATGATGTTAGATGAACTATATAAAGCAGAACGTGGAGAGATGGAAAAGAAACTTCAAGCAAAAGATGAAGTCATTGAATCCAAAGACAAAAGCATACAGAAAAGAATACCACGTTCAGTACCAAAAGGAAAGGAAAAGAGTTATAAGTATATGATTTACGCTGAAGAGATGGAAAATGAAGAAGACAGAGATATGGTTATGTTGCATTTAGTCAGAAGAAACAACAAAAGCTTTTACGACCTTGCTAAAATATATAAATCTGACAGAAACTGGTTCTATCGTGAAAACTTACCGATTTCAATGACACCGAATGAGCAAATAAAGGAAATTGTCAAAAATACTCTTCCTCAAACACACTATGATATTAAAGGTTGTACAATACTTACCTTCAAAGAAGACTTACCATTACTGAAGGAAAAAATAACAGAATATTTCGATAACTTCAAAGAGGAAGAATGAAGTCACGACAACATTAACGAAGAAGTCACGACAACATTAACGAAGAGAGAATGAGGTGAGAAAACAGGTGAAATCTCACCTCTTCACCAAAAATATATTTTTGCTTAAATAGCTTCAGGGTCAATTTCTTCAACCATTTCACTTCCTTCGTCAATGTCAATTGAAGCTTCTTCAACCTTTGGTAAGAATTTCTGTATAACATCTTTGTTCGTTATTGTCTTCAGAGATGAAGGATAATATTTCACATTTGTTTCACCCTTCTTATATTCTTTCTGTTCGGAAAGATTCATAGCAATACTGAAGAAGTCAATGTTAGAGTTCTTTATGACAGTATAGTGAGTATCTTTGACATTCACGAAGAAACTCTTTTGTTTCAAAACTACTGCTAACTCTTGTGAAGTATAACGTTTGCGGTCAATGACGATAGCTAATGGTCTGACATACTGACCGAACTTAGATTCTTTCACAAACTTCTTGTTAAAGATAATATTAACGTTTGAAGCATTATTGAACTCATTCTTGATGGCAGTAGCGAGAGCAT